ACCGTTTGAACTAGTAGAGCGTATATGCACTTGCAGATGCGGTGTCCTAATGCTCTATACTAGTAATAGAGTCCTTTCTCCTGGCGTCTCTCTCTTTCTATAGAGTCTACCTATTTAGCTCTCTACTTTCCGCTTGCGTTATTGCGTTCCCCGGGCTTTTTCCCGCGGCTGTTACTAGTGCGTATCGGGGCTATTATTATGTCCCCTTTACTATCCTTTACCAAGGTCGCGGAGTAACTATAGGGACGTATAGTCACTATTATCTTTAGCTCGGATTCCTTGTTCTTCTCTCTCTACCTCTTATTTAACGCTTTAAACTGATCCGTTTCTTCTAGGTTAGTTATAATTCGCTCTACCTCCGCGGCGAACTTGTAGTAGTCCATCACTTTAGCTATAGAGGCCGTGTATATACAGATGGGGTTTAAGAAGGTGTTTTGAAGGTAGCCGATCTTCGTATTGTTTTCCTAGCTCTCTCTATTAGCACTTAGCAGGAGTTCGTTAAACTTAAGCTGGTGTTCATGCCACGGCTAACCTAGAGAGTGCCTTATATTTGCAAGACGCTCTAGGGCTTTTACTTGTTCGTTGCTATTCAAGAAGATCTTATTAAGCTGCGTAAAGAAAGCCTCGAGGTCCTTGCCTTTTATAGAGTCCCCCTTTTCCTAAAAGTGATGCATTTAAGCTCTCTCTCGTGCTAGGAGGGTGTCATAGATAGTGTTCCAGCAATACTCAGCTGAAAGCGTTGGTTTTGCTCTGGAACAAACGTGATACAAGCTTCTAAGCCTTAGGAGGTAATCTTGAAAGGCCTCCGCCCAGCTATTCTATATCGGCGGCTTCTAATCCCTAGGGCCTGATAGTTTGTGGTTAGTCCTCGCCCGAGTTGTTACTAAGAGCGACTTAATTAAAGCTCTTATAAGGTTGCTCTAGACTAGCGCGTCCCTCAACGGGCCCTGCTAAGCTTCTCTTGTCTCCTGGTTGTTTATAGCGGCACGCGTTTCTGATAATTCGGTTTCCAGCTATTATTAGCGCGTGTATATTTCTTGGAAGGCAGCTAGTAGTTAGGCGTTTAACATGTCGCGCTGAGGGCTTTTGTTTCTTAATAGTGTTGACCCGGGGTCCGGTGTAAAGCTGACGGGTAGCCGTGAATCTATAAATAATTAAACTTAATGTTACAGGTGAGTCACGTATATATAGAGGCTTAATATGGTATTTAACAAGTTTAATAAAGGAGAGAGAAGAATCTTCGTCTGGATCCGAAGAAAAGTAAGCGCTCCCCGGTCAAGGCTTAGTAAGCTAAGCACGGGCATAGCCTGTGCTTTACCTCTAGGGCTCGCCCCTTACAGTATTAAGGCATAAAAGAGTGTGAACTTTATCTTTTCAACCCCGCTAATATATATAAAAAGGTATATATGCAGCTACGATTCGTAATTAGGACATTATCATAATCTATAAGGTTATTCGCTTAATTAAAAGACCCCTAGTAATACATAGCAAATGCAGACGTCTATAATCACAACTATATTAACTGCAGCTATAGTGGACTAGGTGGTTCACAAGGCGATTTAAGGGGCGGATCATAGAGTGGATTATAGAACAGATTAGAGGGTGGATCACAGAGCGGATCAGAGGGCGACTTCGCCACCTCAAGAGGCCTAAATAGGTTCGGAGATTAAAGAAGATTTAGACAAAACAGACTTATATAAGGGCTAGCAAGATAAAAGAAGTGTTACATATGCTAGAAAGAGGGATGCTAGTCCACTTCACACTCTACAGATAAGAGGAAAGCAGCATACAAAAAGTTCAAAGCGAAAACACATAATCCAAAAGCTTTAGTTGCGAAATATAACACGTTCCTAGCTAAAGTGGAAGGAGTCTCAACCCTAGAGGGATCTAAGGACAACGATAACAATCTATATACCTAGTATCTAGCAGGGGAAGAGGAGAAAGATAAGGAGGATACTAATAATAATAAGGTCTACTTAGATACATTTTTCACTTTATTTAGGGAGGCAAAAGGCAAAGACGTGATATCTATATTAGCAGACCAATCAGCAAAGCATACCTTTATTAGAGCCGATTTTTTCTCTTATAGAGAACTCCTAAAAGCATATAAATTAGACAAATCAATTATTAAAGAAGCGATTTATCCTATAGACAAATTGGATACAGTCCAAATTTCTCCTATAGACGCTTATATAAACGCTTACAAAAACGCTTATAAGAACGTCCCCTTAGCATTTACATTTGAAAGTTAATACTTAGAGGGAGAGTTCCATAGCATTATACCAGATAGTGGGGCAATAGGCATATCAATAGTAGAGGAAGCATAAGTTAAGGCTCTATAAGAGCTAATCCCAGATATCAAGATTAATATATATGCGTTAAAGCATAAGATACGCTTTAGGAAGAGTATAAGCAAGTCTATAGAGACGATTTTAGTACCTACGCTAGTTAGACCAATCACGTTTCATGTAGTTACTATAGATACCCTATTCTTATAGTATATTTAGGATATAGACAAGATAAAAGTTAAGCTAGATAATCTTAAGAACGTGCTAATTTAGGGCACATAGCAAATCCTAATCATCTAAAAATAGGGATATCCATAGATATTAATTAATGGATTTAAGATAACACTTATATACTGCCACCTTATAGAATAGGAGCTTTAATAAGTTCATTATTAATTCAGACACCTATCAATCTAATAGCTATCTAAGCTACTAGAAAGGGCAGGATATAACATAGATACAGACGCGATCCGTAAATTAATAGAGTTTTATAAATAATGCCAGCTTTATTAGAAGGCCCTAGAACGGTTTAAATTCATAATAAGGAACAACTCACACTTCAACTACAAGGTAGTTATAGACGTTCTATAGATCAACACAAAACCGGTCCTCTAAGTTATAGATACAGCTACAAGTTTTCAAGTAGCCCGATTTTTGCAAAATATATCCGCGAAATGCGCATTTAACACTTTAAAAGAGTATTAGATTAATACATATTAAGGCCCACTAGACTTCATAGTCCATAATACTAAGAAGAACTTCGCATCTACTAAATTCAGATAACATATAAGATCACTAGCTATTTAGATCAAGGAAGTGCCTATAAAAGCCTACAATTCTATAGGAAAAGTAGAAAGGTATTATGCTCCTCTAAGACAAGCATATAAGATCCTCGCAGCAGAACTAGGGGAGGCGCTAGCCCCTAAAAACATCCTACAGATAGCAGTAAAAGCAGTAAACGATTCAGCAGGCCCAGATGGACTTATTCCCACTCTCCTCGTTTTTAGGGCATACCCAAGGATTATAGAGGACTCACCACTATCCCTAAGTATTACAGTATAGGCTAAAGCAGTACAGAAAGCAACTTGCAAGGTATAACAGATATAGGCGAAGAGACAAATCGCAGACGCATTACAGATAAGAAACAGTCCAGACACAACCTAAATTCAAGCCCTACCCCTACAATCTAACATCCAAGTGTATTAAGAGGGAGAGAGATAGAAAGGACCATATAAACTAATCTCAATAGAGGGCAAGACATACATTATAGACCTCCCAAGCGGTCCAACATTATTCAGATCCGTGGTGGTAAGGCCATTTCTTATAGACAAGCATACAGATAAGACGGATCGATAATTCAATGCAGACTTAACCCCTATCAAGAGATAGGAGGCTAATAATATAAAGACTACAGGGACTATAGAGGAGTAAAGGGACCTCTAAGCCCCTAACAATATTGAAATACGTCAAGGGAGTAATAAGAAGAGGGAACCTCTTCCGCTAATTTAGAGACGACGTTACGTTTTAATCTAGAAGCAAAGCAGAGGAAGGCCTAAAGGTTTAAAGAATAAGGAACTAAAGGGATTACTAGTAAGAAGGAGACAGGCGTTATAACATATAGACGGCGACACCTTCTTTATTACCTAAATTAAGTAAAAAGGGCAGGTTATAATAGTCTTTTTATCTGAAAAGGAGAAGAATAACTACGAGCTATACCTTAAACTACGCTAAAAAGGGATTATTACTACACTTAAAAGACCATTTCAAACATCGGATTTTACTAAGATCAATAGCCTCATTAGCTAGAGCGTATTTAGATTTAAGAAGTATAACGTAAAGAAGTATAAACAAGTCCGAATCTTTCAATCACAAATAGTTTATAAGATTAAAAGGAAAGCAACCCTAAAACCTTACAAGAAATCCAGACTTATAATCGCAAGACACAGCGATCTAGCAAAAGCTTTAATACTAATACAGTCGCCCACAATTCAAAGAGCAAGCTAAAGAGTAATACTAATCCTAGCCCCTTCGTTTTTTATGCTCCCAATGCGCGGATTTATATTATAGTTACAAGACATCACTTAAGCATATTCATAATCACAGTCAAACCTCGTCCAAAAGATAATTGCATCCCTGCTAAAGGAGATCACGCATTTATATCCGGAAGGGACTATTATAATCATTATCAAGCCGCTATATGGAGTGGCCGAATCAGAGACCCACTAGTTTATCACATACTTCACGCATCACAAGGAGAAGCTTAGGATAAAGACTTCAACGTACGACCTATGCTTTTTAATCACATAGGGAAGTCAAGGTGTCAGGATTATAGGTATGCAGACGGATAACACGATTATCCTCTATAACAAGAAGTTTGCGAAACTAGAAGACAATAAACTACATAAGGCCAAGTTAAAAGCGAAGCCAAAGGAGAAGCTCACTAAGGGCAATCCACTTATCTTTAATAGATGCATCCTAACAATAAAAGGGGATAACCTCATACTTTAACAAAAGGAATAAGGGAAGAAGTTAACCACTATTAATAATAAAGCCGACAACTATAAATAAGTATATCTATAACAGCACGCACAAGGAGCATATATTGCATCGATTTATTAGCTAGAAGCTGCATTCAACTTATTAATCTTAGCATAATACTAAGATCTAGAAGAGCCTAAGGTATCACAGCTAAATAAGCGCCTTAGGTAGCAGATGGACAATCTAGAAAGAGGCCTCTACTACATCCCTCTAGACCTCTATACAGCCCGCCTCTTCATCTTTATAGACGGATCACTAGCTAATAATAAAGATTTAAGTTCCTAGTTAGGATATATAATCGTTCTAGTAAATGAGAGGCTAAATAAGAAGGAAAACAAGTTTACTATTAAGGGAAACATAGCCTATTAGAGCTCGATAAAGAGCAAAAGGGTAATAAGAAGCAGCCTCACATCCGAAATCTATAGCATAGTAGTAGGCGTAGATATAAGAATAGTTATAAACTTAACTCTTAGGCAGATCACCTAGGAGCTAGGGATGCTAGCAATTAAAACAGTTATATGCACCGATTTATACTCCCTCTATAAATGCCTTATAAAGCTTAGAACAACTAAGGAGAAACGCCTAATAATTAACATTATAGAGCTACGAGAATCCTATAAGAAGCGTAAGATCTATAAGATATGCTAGATAAACGGGAAGGATAATCCAGCGGATGCAATAATAAAGATAACTCCGAATTAATTACTTAAGACACTTATTAATACAAATAGCATTACTATTTAAGTGGAGGAATAGGTGAAAAGGGACGTAGTGCTATCACGCTAGCTGCATTTAGACTTTTCCCTATAGAAGCATTTTTAGGACGTCTAGGATCCATAGATCTAGATAATCTAATATGCTTTTATTATTAGTTTCTTATCAGTTTTATATTTATTTACTATAATTTTATTAGCTTATTTAATCTTCAGCCATATAAATATAACGTTATTTATTTAAATCGCACTAATTATAAGCATGTGTTTACTACATTTTTAGAATAGCGAGATCTGCATTGCAATAGTTATAGCAGATAAGAAGGACTATATAGGAGATCTAGACGATCTGGTTAGATAAGACGAATTATAGTCACAAAAGAGAGAACTATCTATGTTAGGATAATAGGCTGTATCCCGACCTTTATAATCATGTGACCTAGCTTAGTCATCCGCTTAGTCAGCGAAAAGACGCGTATCGTCTTTTCCTTATAATTATCCACAAGAATACCAGTATTATATCAACTACGCGTAGTAGCACTATGATCACGTATCAACCTATGATATCAACAGTTACCCTTTATAAGATTAAAAGTTATAGTAAGACTCATTGCTAGAGGATCATCCCCTTTACTTCATAAAAGATAAAATTTACAGTCCTATAAGTGATTAGTAGAAGTCTTTTAAAATATAATTCTATAAATATAACAAACCTTATAAGTTAACCCTTTATTACTTTTCTAGTATCCATCTAACTTAATAATAGCATCTGGCCAAGCAGCTATATATATAAGAATAAGAAGAAAAAACGCTATCTAGATACGAAATTATTCTTTTCAATAGTTATAATAATCTTCTTTCTATAGATAGTAGAGAAGTGTATTAAGATCCTAAGTGTCCATTATTAGCTTTATGCAAGCTGCACTTCTTAAGGCTAGTGACTCTTTTAACTCGGTCTTAATATACTAAACTTAAGTTAAAATTTTAACTAGAAGATAAGATAAGAGAAGTATTAACTTACTTGCTTCACTTTAGCTAAAACCTCTTTAGGGATCCTCACACTATATTTCCGTTGGTAGGCTATCGCAAGACGGGTAATATACATAGTTAAAGTAGTTATAGATAGACGATCGCTAATCTAGCCGGAATGTTTAATTACTAGCGCTTTAAAGAATACTTTTTTCTACTTAGCATTAGGAATTTGATTTGGCTTGCCAATCCAAGTAGCATAATCTTCCTAGAATGCTAGGATTATATTATATCCTCTACTAGTTGGTTAGGCAACTATAGGGACGTATCACTCGCTTATTATATGCTCGATCTGCTTAGCAGATTTAAGCAGTTGCTCTTAGGTGTAAGGGGCGAGCCCTAGGGGTAAAGCACGGGCTATGCCCATGCTTAGCTTACTAAGCCTTAACCGGGGAGCGCTTACTTTTCTTCGGATCCAGACGAAGATTCTTCTCTCTCCTTTATTAAACTTGTTAAATACCATATTAAGCCTCTATATATATATGACTCACCCGTGATATTAGGAAAGTGTAATAGCTGCTAAACGCTTTTTCTTTAGCTTCCCCATCTTTTATGTTAGAAAGAGCAAAAATTCGAATATGAAAGAGGGCAAGTGAATAATAGGAAGAGGAAGATGATCCGAAGATCCTTGGGAAAAGAGAAGTATGTTTAGAAAAATAATAGCTGTCACCTATGGTATAAATAGCATACTCTCTGAATAATGCACTGCATTTAATAACTGAATACGGTTATCTGGAATACCATCGCGCATACATGTGTTGGTAAGTTGGGCAGCTGCTTTTAGTAAACAAGGTTGCGGGAAACAGGAATCCGGAAGCGAGTTTTAAAAGTGGCGGGGCCCATATGTCAGAATAAACGATTTTTCCAACTCAAGAAAACCATGGCACTCTTGGTTTAGTGGTAAAATCAGCGCTTCCCATACTTTAGTATGCGCTGGCCCCGGGTTGTAAGTTTGAAATCAAAATCCAGCATCTAACAACTTTATCTAATTATATTTCAGCGATTCCCGGAGGGTGCACACATCACATTTATTTTACCAAATTTTTTATACTTCTTTTGAATGACTCTCCTTTTGCCAAAAGCGGTGGAAATGCAAAGCGGGGTCAAATAAGCGAGAGCTTAACCTTTTATGCAACCGAAACATCTTGCCGCATAGGTAGTTTCCTCTCTTTCTATAAGAACTCTGAACTCCATAATTTTCAATTGGCTGATATATAAGACTCTAGTTGATCTACTAACTGATTAACAGGAGATATATTGAACCACCTGGCCTGGCCTTTTTTACTAACTCCAATAGCACGATTTGCAAGCTTGATCTCCTGATACGTCCACATCATCCAAGCTTCGGGTGGCGCCGGGTATGAACTTCGCTTCACAAATTGATTACTATACCTTTCTACCATAACACAAAATCGCAACAGTCTCTACGGGATCCGCCGACTGCAACTTCAATACCAACGCGTGGCAATTAATCAAGCCCGTCTTTAGAATCTCTTCTTGCAGTGCAAGGTTTTCTACACCATCTAGAATCGCAAGGATATGAATCGGATCCACTCTAAACTATTACACCCCTCATATACTCAAAGATGCTTCACATCCATTGACGAGTCAAGTCCCTATTATCGAAAACGACTCTAGCACCTTTAATTCAGACATTGGACTTTACGGCATAGTCTTCATCTTGAAGTACGTACTCGCCAGTCTCGTTTACACGCCAGATAGCATGTTTCAACAGATTGAAGAAAGCATCAATTTCATATTCGGCTTCAAAGGCTCGGTATCCGGAAGACTAGCTTGCACACCTGGGGTCGCATCGTTAAGTCTTGAAAAGGCTTTTAAGGCTTCGTGTGCCTCCTAATAACGGGGTTGCTTTTTGGAAGCATTCCTTACGGATTTTATCGGGTCTACCCTAGTTGCGAAAGAGTGTCTTAATTTTGGTGTTGTTTCTTACTCGTGGTTATCTGTTTTTGATGGTTGATAGAGCTGCCTGGATTGCGGACTTTTTGAATAAGAAATTTGGGATGCAAGTTGGGTCGAGTATCATACATGAGTCAGTTCACAAAGAGATGGAAGGTTATGACACCAAATTGCAGTTGAACTGCTGCCAAGGGTGCTGCTTATGATTTGCCATAAAAGATGTGTATTTTGCTGAAACGAGAGTTATTTTGCGTTTTCGTTGAAAGGTTGCATCAAGTTATGGCTTGCTACTTTGCAATTGCATAGATTCAAGAGGAGAGCCTCGAGTGATGGACCTCTTCTCACATATAGGGATAATTTTGCATTTGAATTCTTTGAAAGTTTTGAAAGTGGTAATCTGGCACTTGAAATTGTATCTTTTGTTGTTTCTAGTTTATATTTTCTCTCGCACATCTTATTATTGCCCATGAAATCTCTTAGTCAGGTCCGCACCTGGAAGGAAGTAAAATCAAGAGTGTCCCTTAACTGCTGGAGTCTTTCTTTCCAAGTATTTGTTAAGAGGTTTGAACGCAGAGGATTACCTATACTATGCAATATACTAAAACTTTGCCAACCATCGGTTGAGTCAATAGTTTCCATCACATTGTTGAATGCAGTCTTCGCTGGTTTCATTGGCGATAGTGAAACCCGATCCACGTCTTTGTGGATTCGAAAATCGGTATTTGGTCGAACTCGCCATGTGCTGGAACTGCATCTATCTATCTGATTACAAAGCTAAAGATTCTCTTATTTGTGATAGTCGGAGTCGAAGGAATAAGTTTGAGAGCTAGTCATGTGATTCGCTTCATTTAGGGGTAAAGGAGGAGTGAAATTGACGGTACTTTTAGGCGTACATATCCGAACTTTCCTTACCGGTGGGATGAATTTATTAGTAATGATCCCCCAAACCCAAAGGAGTCAAATGCTTTTGATCGCGCAGTAATACACTCATCTTCGCATGTTTTATGTACAAAGTATAAAGTACACCGCATGGATCAGGCTGTCCGCGTGGTCGGTTTGACTTCTCTTTTTGAATTGTTTTGCCTCTTGGCTGTTTCACAGGGCGCGGGGCGGGGCGAGAGTGGGGGCTGTAAGGTACAGGGTGTCATCACCAAATCTGCATCTCAAAGTTTATGAAACTTTGAGAGGCTTATGCTTATATAGACTTCGGCTCTTAGAAGTATGCTTATTCTAGTACATGAACTCTTTTTGAAACCGTTGAAACTCTAAAAGACGCACAAATGATTATATTTAAGGATCTTTCTAGCTAACCAAGACCTTGTTTTAGCTATATTATCATCCGTGAAATGCAGATTTGGTAACAACGCCCGGTAGATACTACTTCGTATAACATGCATGTTACTCCGGAAGCCCAGCCGGTCGACATATCAATAGGGGTAATTGCCTTAATCGGTATTAAGATCGCAAGTTCTTAAAGGTAACTCTTTAATCTATTTCTTATTAACTTATTGCTAAAAGTTTTACAGCAGGCAGAGAATATCGGGCAGGGAATATCGCAAAATCACGAAGGCAGGCAATCTGAAGAAAAAGCATAAGCGTAAGCTCTATCAACGCGGTAATAGTCTACAGGTCCTCGTAAAATGCAACCTATCAATCCTATACTGGACTACGTACAGTACTTTTCTATTTGATAAGCGCATATCGTAAAAAGAGCAAGACACTGATCTGTATAGTACGTAGATTATTTCAGATGAACTTACAAAGAAACTTGTCGATTACTGGCGGACTTCTATCCAATCGGAAGCTTTGCATTGGTCACCTCGAACCTGGTCCAACTTTCCAGAGTGAGTTCCAACTTCCGATTTAGTCAGCCTCGAGTCAGCGTGGGAGCCGTTGGATTTGCCTGAGCCGCAAGAATGCATGTGACTGCCAAGACTACCAACCGCTCGTTAGAGTTTAGATCCAGGATGGTCTATAAATAAGGTTCCAACGGTGCCGGGGTCTAGTGAGATGGGCGTTTTATGTGCAAGACGACATTTGTAGAAGGACAAGTTGACGAGGAACGTTAAAGAGATGGGAGTGATAACACACGCTTATTGAGATTGTATATTTTGGTGAGGATGGAACGCTATTGGCACGATCAGTTCGTCTCAGGAGTAAGGCAATTGTGCCCCTTTTTCTTATTGACCAGTGACTACCTTCATCACCAACACCATTATCCCGTTGCGAAGAAAATCTGCCGGCCCCTAGCGATAGAGCTGGCCGAGAAGAGCCGGAGCCACCATGCTTCCCGATCACCCCGTGCGCAAGTCTTGATCGCTGATTGACGAACGATGCATGAATTGGCCCCGTACACCCCGGCTATCTTCTCGACCCCTCGAATCGAATTCTCGGACTTGTGGTGTTACTGTGGCACAGCCATTCATTTTCTTCAATACAATTTTGACTACTAAACCGCCGTCTCTCAACAAGTTCTGGCTGTTTTGGGATAGAGCTCGTGAGAGTGAAAATGGACGTACAAACGGTTTACCTACTGGATTAGTTCATTGCATTTTCTTATGCAGTACAGTATAAAACAACGTGCTCCTGGCCCGTGCATAGGACCCTGAACTTCCAAAAAAAAAAAAAAAACGTTTTACCGTTACCCCAGGAATCCTTCCTGTTCGTTCTCGAGTATCTGTTCTCGAGTATTCCCCGCTCAGATTCCGGGGGAGGTGTTCTTGGACATCCGGACTGCCATTGCCGGCTAGGCAGACCGGTGTTTTCATGCCGAGGCTTCAAAAATTGGAAAGCTTTCAGACTTTTACTTCAGTAACGAGTCTCGCCATTATCACCAGGTATCTTACCATAATCCTAATACTGTGCGAGTACTCCGTAATTCCTCCGGCATACCCGCTTGCCTTATGGAGTACCCCCACTCTCCTCTCGCCCGCCCCGCCCCCTGCGGAAAATCCAAGCATACCCCTGGAAAGGCGACTGGCTGTGTTTTGGCGAATAATCTGGGTCTGGTGGACGTCCCCTCGTTGATCAATGGCCCCAATGGCCCCGAGTTTCTTGACGATCTTTGACTGGTCTTATACGAGTACGTATGTTACTAACTAGAAGTTGTGTCTCTTGACAGCCAAGTATACACTATCAATTGTTAGTTAATGACTCAAGTGTTCGTACTCGCTGGTTGGACGTAAATCAGGATGGAATCCATCGCCAGCGATGCATGATGATTCCAAACGGCTCTGACGAGTGAGAGTGTCCAGAGATATTTAAGTCCGCATGCCAAGCGACCTCATTTCTTGAGTCCGAGCTGTATGCTATGGGCCTACCGAATTAGTTAATTCTGTTTACAAAGACAAAAGACATTACTAAGCAGCAACTAACTAGAGACAGCTAAAACTTTGACTATTCAGATGTCCTTATTGGCCACTCCACCTTGAACACTGTTGGTCACATCATCTTCTGAATAATCCCTGAACACCCGGTCCCCAGTATAGCTGCCACAGTGATCCGAAGTTCTGGTTAGTTTGAGTCAAATCGTGTGATGCCAGATTTTGTCAGCTCAGATTCCACTGAATTAGCTTTCTGGCGAGGTGATGCCCCAAACCATTCAGACTCTAGGCCACTTGCTGAACAAGGCGCACCTTCATAAAGCTAAAGCCTAGATCCTAGCGGCGATTGTTCAGGGTATGATGGTAATTTTAACCTTTCCTTTACCTTCCCTTCTGAGTACGTGCTCACCCTTGTCAGTCGAACTAACAACAGTATGTTCTCAGGTGTATAAAAGTCGCGCGATGGCCATGGAAGGCAATGTTCTCCCCAGCTCCGATCGCTGCTGAACTCTGCAAGTCGTTTCGTTTACAGCTTGCCTGCTCCTACCATGGCTCCTATTCGGTCCCTATTGATCGGCCTTCTGCCCTTCGTCTCTGCACAAGGCTGCCCCTATGCCGGCGCTAACAGGCGAGACCTCCTGGTCGCGAGGGACGACCCGTCGTCGTTCGACACTCTTGCGTCCTCTTTCGGCAAAACCAGTGTCATCAGCGACGCAGCAGGCGCCGGTACTCGTAGCAAAGACTGGTGGCCGAAACAGTTGAGGCTGGATGTCCTTCGTCAAGTAGGCTTATTCCCATACAGATATGCTAGAATCTGGGAGGGAAGCTGGGAGTCTAGGGGCTATTTGAAGAGCCCTAGAAGCCGACTCCTCAGCTTTTCCCAAACACGAGACTGTACTATGCTAATTCGCTGGACAGTTTTCGCCGGAGCAAAACCCGCTTGGGGCTGACTTTGACTATGCCGCCGCATTCGCTACTCTAGACTGTAGGTAGAGCGCATGTAGAGCGTTAAGCCATTGCAATGTGACACAAACAATCTAACACAACGTAGATGAGGCGCTAAAGTCAGATATCATGTCCTTGTTGACGGATTCGCAGGCTTGGTGGCCAGCTGATTTTGGCAGCTATGCTGGTCTGTTAATTCGTGCGGCCTGGCACAGTGCGGGTACATATCGAAGTATCGATGGGCGTGGGGGTGCCGGTATGGTAAGTGCCTATGTATCCTGTCTGCTTCCTGGATTCCGAGGGCTAATCACCGTATCCTTGTAGGGACAGCAACGTTTCGCTCCCCTCAACAGCTGGCCCGACAATCAGAGTCTTGATAAGGCCCGGCGCCTGCTATGGCCGCTCAAGCAGAAGTATGGAAAAGCCATCTCGTGGGCCGACTTGGTCGTCCTGGCTGGTAACTGTGCCCTTGAGAGCAATGGCTTCCCAACCCTCGGATTTGCTGCCGGACGTCCCGATACGTTCCAGTCAGATGAAAGCGTCTTCTGGGGTGACGAGACAACGTTTGTCCCCCACGGCAACGACGTCCGTTACAACGGTAGCACCGACACCACTGAGCGCGCCGACAAGTTGGAGAAACCACTTGCCTCTACTAACATGGGGCTTATCTATGTCAACCCGCAAGGACCTGATGCTAGCGGTGACCCGAAAGCGTCGGCCCTCGACATTCGTATGACCTTTGGCCGAATGGGTATGAACGACTCTGAGACTGTTGCACTGATCGCTGGAGGTCATGCTTTTGGAAAGACTCACGGAGCCTCGAGCACTACCGTTGGCCCTGAGCCAGAAGCAGCACCCCTAGAACAGCAAGGCTTGGGATGGTCCAACAGCTTTGGTACTGGTAACGCAGACGACACCATCACTAGTGGATTGGAAGTCATCTGGTCCAAGACACCAACAAAGTGGAGCAATGGTAACAAATCCCCAATTTCCGGTTCCACTGACCGTGCATGCTGACTTGTTCTTTTTCAGACTTTCTAGAGAGTTTGTTGGGCAACGAGTGGACCCTAGTGAAAAGTCCTGCCGGAGCTCTTCAATTCGAGGCGTTGAACGGAACTCTTGATTACCCTGATCCCTTTAACAAGACGTTCCGCCACGCTACCATGCTAGTCAGCGATCTTGGCCTGCGGGAGGATCCTAGCTACAACGTTATTGCCAATTCATGGTTAGGTGACGAGGGGTTCAAAGAACTCACTGATGCCTTTGCAGCAGCGTGGTGTAAGTATCTAGCCCCTAGATTTCCGTGATTCATTTTGACTTATTATGGGAAACAAATAGTCAAGCTTTTGCATCGTGATATGGGTCCTATTTCCCGCTACCTAGGCCCCGACGTGCCCAAGCAGAGCTTTATCTGGCAGGATCCTCTCCCCGCCGCATCCTTCCCCGCCCTGTCTGATGCCGATGCGGAAGATTTGAAGACACAAATCCTTGCCGCCCCCGGCGTCAACGTTTCGAGCTTGGTCTCGGTAGCCTGGGGTTCGGCATCCACTTTCCGTGGGGGTGATAAGAGAGGGGGTGCCAATGGAGCCCGCATTGCTTTGCAGCCCCAGGCCTCGTGGCCAGTAAACAACCCCACGCAGTTAAAGACGGTCCTTGACGCTGTATGTTATCCTCCCTTTTCCTCGCGCGCTTTGCATTTCTACAACTACTGAGACTAACCGTTTGATTCAGTTGAACACAATCAAGACTGCCTCTGGTAAAGTTTCCCTAGCTGACCTTATCGTCCTCGGCGGTAATGCTGCTATTGAGAAGGCTGCTGCTGATGCTGGCCACACTGGTGTCAAAGTGCCGTTCACCGGTGGTCGCGTTGACGCCACCCAGGAAGACACAGACATTGCCACCTTCGAGTTCCTCAACACACAGGGCGATGGTTTCCGTAACTTCCGCAACAGCTCAGGCTGGTCGCTAGCACGTACAGAGGAGCTCCTCGTCGAAAAAGCCCAACTGCTGACACTGACGGCACCTGAAATGACGGTACTCGTTGGCGGCATGCGTGCTCTCAATACCAACTATGACGGGTCCTCCAACGGCATCCTGACATCCAGTCCCGGCAAACTCACCACCGACTTTTTCGTCAACATACTCGACATTAACAACGTGTGGACCGCAGACTCCACCAATGAGCTATACACCGCAAAGGACCGCTCATCGGGCGCTCAGAAGTTTACAGCGACGCGCGCTGATCTTGTCTTCAGCGCGCATGCTGAATTGAGGGCTATTGGAGAGGTGTACGCCCAGAACGGCGGGTCTGACAATTTCGTACCTGATTTCGTGGCCGCCTGGACAAAGGTCATGAATTTGGATCGTTATGATGTAAAGAAATAGTAGGCATTACCTCTATATTCGGGATGCCAATTTTGTTTGCGATTTGAACGAACCAAAATTTTATTCAAATTTCAGAAAGTATATATATCCAAAAATGTATAAATAGATAGATAGATACACCAAGCAATGATAGTTTGTCTCAAAGATGTGGTTTTGACGTATAATAAACAAGTATGGGAGATAAGGATGGAGACTAGAGCCTGCCAATGAATTAGTACTTTAGTCTATGCGGCCAGAGAAGGG